ACAGTCACCAAACCAGCCTTACAATTTGTCAAACCTATAATCCTCCTCCAGGCCCTTGCTCCTCCCCTTGCCTGTTTCCCAACTCTACCCCCTCCAATATATCTGCTTGAATCCACCCTTCCTGGGCCCCTCTTCCAGGAAGCCTTCCTTGGTGTCTTTGGTGTATGGATCTCTCCTCCGTGCCCTTTGTTTTTTTGGTTTTTTAGCGGTACGCGGGCCTCTCACTGTTGTGGCCTCTCCCGTTGCGGAGCACAGGCTCCGGACGCGCAGGCTCAGCGGCCATGGCTCACGGGCCCAGCCGCTCCGCGGCATGTGGGATCTTCCCAGACCCGGACACGAACCCGCGTCCCCTGCATCAGCAGGCGGACTCTCAACCACTGCGCCACCAGGGAAGCCCCCGTGCCCTTTGTTTTTGTTTCTGGGTTCTCCTTCTCCTCTCTCCTCTTTCTCCCTCCTCTCCTTCCTTCTCTACCTGTGTCTCCTTGTATCTCTTTCTCTCTGTCCCGACATCTCTCCTTTTCCTTCTCTCCTTCCTGTTGCCTCTGTGTCTCTGTGTCTGTTGCAGCCTGTCTCCCAGCCCCTGTCACCTCCTCTCTTCTTTCTTCTCTCTGGCTCCCTGTGTTCTGGAGCTCTCTCCCCCTCCCTGTCTGTCTCTGAGCGTCTCTTCTTTCTCTGCCTCTCTCCGTGTGTCCCTCTCTCCCGCTCTGTGGCTCTGTGTGCCCCGCCCCCACTGTCCTCCCTCTCTTCCCTCCTCTCCTGGTCCACACGGCCTCAGCAGATGAAATGGGATGTTCCTTCCTGAAGACAGCTGGCCAGAGAGCAGCCGTCAATGCTGGAAGGAGCTGCTGAACAGTGGCCAGGAGACGCCGGGAGCCTGGGCGAGCCATGTAGGCTAAGCTGTGACAGCGAGGGGCCCCTTTGGAAACTTTCCACACCTTCCCTGCAGGTTCCAGGATGGATGTGGTGCCTTTTTCGGGATTTGTGACCTTGGAGGCAAGCCCAAGCCCTGTCTGCCAGCCCCTGGGGACGACATGCACTGGGCCCTGACTGCGGGGCTGCTCTGACAGCCAAGCTCCTGGGATTGGTGGGATCTGCAGGAGGATCACCAAGGGGCTGGGCCACAGCTGTGAGGGGAAGGGATCCTCAAGCTCAGGTCTCCTGGGGATAAGACGAGATCATGGAAAGGACAGGGAGTAACAGATTCTGTCATTCATTCATTCAACAAACATTCATGAAGCTACCGCCCTGTGCCAGACTTGATCTTAGCCCTGGGGACAAAGCTGGATCAGGCGTGGCCCCTGCCCTCGAAAAGCTGTTGGTCTCCCCTCAAGTGGCTTGTTGGGGACACATTCTGACAGAGGCAGCTCCAGGGTGTGGGGAGCTCATTCCAGCCATGGTGAAGAGGGTGAACCGGAAAGAGCAAGGAGGCTGCTGTCTGCAGTGATTCAGGCAGGTGATGGTGACCTGGGCCAGGGCCAAGCATGGTTAGGAGGTAAAATCCAGGGTATTCTGGTGACCGAATGGATGAGGATGAAGAGAGGGAAGGAGGAGTGGAGACGCGCCCATCTGACTTGGATGGTGGAACTCAGCTGAGACACATCCAGGAGGGGAGGGGGAGGCTCTGGAGGATGTTGGGTGGAGATGCCCAGGAGGCTGCTGGACAAATGGGTCTGGGCTGGGGCAGCAGGTCCAGAGTGGTAACTGAAGCCATATGAATGGATGGATTCACATTCCACCGATTGTGAATAGAGTGAGAAGAAAAGAAGGCTGTGGAAAGGGTTCCCAGGGACACCCACATTCATCGGGCAAGGGAAAGGGGAACCTACGAGGAGGACAGAGAGGGAGCCGTGAGAGGAGTACGAAGAAAACAGGACAGAACGGTGTCGTGGGGTCCTGAGGAAAACAAGCCCCAAAGAGGGCAAAGAGGGGGTCGCGATGGGAACCTGGTCTCGGGAGTGAGGGCTTGCTCTGGACAGTCCTGGGGCAGGAACCCCGTGGGAGGGGCCTCCTGCAGGAGCTGCCCCTGGCAGGGGGCGGACACCTCCCCACCCTGGAGGGAAGGAGGTGAAGGCCAGTGTGGCTTAGAGAAGGAGGGGATAGGAATTTGGAAAAATCATTGCTGATTGCTTCTCATTTCTCCAAGTATCTGAAGTCTTCTGTTTAGGGTCTTAAAATACACAGTAAGGGCCTGGAACCACTGAGGTTGAGGGAACGGGCAGGGTGCAGACCAGACACTGAAACGTTGTCAGGCAGTGCTCAGGGTCCGGCCAGCATCCTGTAAGGCTTGGGCTCCTCCGGATGCCCCCTCTGCCAGCTCCTGGAATGCTCCTTTTAGAGTGGCCACACGGCCATCAGTAAATATTCGTGCTACTCCGGTATAGCCTGAGGTGGCCTGTTTTCCCTACGGCTCTTGAAATCTGCGTGGACCACGGCTGGGCCTGGAGGCCCCTGTCTTTAAATGGGTCTCCATGGAGGCAGGGAAGGAATTGCTTTGCTGCCAGGAGTGCATTCCAAGAGCTGTGGGCAGGGAGTTCCTGCAGCCTGTGCGCTGGAGGCCACCACGCCCAGTTCTAGCCTGATCAGTTCGGGGGGCAGGCAAGAGTGGGGTCGACTCTGTGGCCACAGCCAGGGATGGCTCAGCCCCTCACTCAAGTGTGCATGCTGGGCTTTTCCAAAGGACTTTCACTCCTCCTGCCTCGTTGGGACCTTACAGCCTCCCCAGGGAGGCAGCCACAGGGATCCAGGCCCATCTGACAGACAGGGAAACTGAGGCTGGCAGCAGGGCAGCTGATTGCTCAGGATCACGTACGGGAGACTCAGAGCCTTGGCAGAAGCCTAGGTCTTCCATCCTCTACAGCCAGCACTGGGTCAGGGCCAGAGCTGCGAGGTCGTTGTCCATGTGTCTTCTGCAACTGGCTCTCAGGTGAGCCTCACTGACCTCACAGTCTCTGCACATGCTGTTCCCCCTACCTAGAACATGCCCCGCCCCACCCTGTGCCACCCCACTCTCATCCTCACCTAGTTAACTCTGATCCCATCCCTCAGCTAGGGATGCCTCCTCCAGGGAGTCCACCCTGCCCCCAGGTTAGATTAGCGGCCTCCTGTGCACGCTCACCACCTTGTGTGCTTCCCTCGGCATAGTACTTACCCTGGATCAAAAGACCTTGATTCTCAAGACCGTGAGTGCCTAGAACAAGCCCCTACCTGTTCATCACCATCCAGCACTGGATATGCACTCAATCAGTGTTCGTCAGATAAATGCAATAAATAGGTAGAGAAAAGGAGGGAGAGGAGGAGGGAGGGAGGGAGGGAGGGAGAGGAGGAGGGAGGGAGGGAGAGGAGGAGGGAGGGAGGGAGGGAGGGAGAGTACAATTTCATAAGGGTCTCTGGAGTCAAGCTAATGCCTTCCCCATGAATGTGAGAGCGAGGGGAGCCCATGGTGCAGCCCAATCCCTCCCTGTACACAGAGACACCAAGAGCATACAGGCTCTTGGTGGGTCTGCCCAAGGTCTCAGAGCGAGTGTGGTGGGTTCTAGTCCAAGTCTCCCATTCCCAGACCTGTGATTTTTTTTTTTTTGCTGTGATCCAGAGGTGGGATTTCAGGGACTGTGACAATTCACCGAGAGAGAGACTGTTGGGTGGGGGACTTGTTGGGGAGTCTTGAAACCAGCCCAGAGGTGTGCAGGGCTGGGCGGCTGTGGGCTATGGGGTTCACCCCCCTGTTCCAGCCACTGTGCACTCCCAGCCTCACTTCCTCTGCGCCGGAGCCTCTCCAAAAAGCTCGTCCACCACCCTGGGGTTGTCAACATGCTGACCTTCCAGCTTCCCACCTGTCACCACCCGTCACAGGCAATTAGAATAATAGTGCAGGAATTCCCCCCAGGTTCTGGGATGAATGGTGAGCAGGAGGGGAGTGAACTGCCTGTGGAAGTGGGGCTTCGGGGGAAGGACACGGGCTGGGAGGGCGCAGGGGCCACCACCACTTTGCCTGCATTGAATGAGTGGGGAGACAGGCCCAGCGAGGAGGAGGGGCTTGTCCGGGGCTGACTCCCAACAGCGACTGGCCTCCCCTAACCGGAGCCTGGGAGAGCCTCCACCGTGTTCTCAGACCTCGAGCCTGCGTCCAGCCAGAGGGCGTGCCTGGTCTCATCTGGGGCTGTGGACCAAATGATTCATTTCTATATTCTCAGTGTCTAGCCCAGGGCTGGCCACAGAGCAAACGCATCATAAACGTCTGTTGAATGAATGGTTAGGGGTGGAGTGTGAGATGGAGACCAGCCCCCTCCGCGCCCCACACAGGGTCCTATTACTCCTTCCCCAGAATCTTACACCTCATTGTGTCCTCAGGGCCCGCCCCAGGGCCTGGGTCAAGTGTGTGATCCATAAATGTTGGATAGATGGTGAACAAATGAATCTTCGAAGTCTTAGATCCAGCCAACACATACTGAGCACGTGTGGGGCAGTAGCCATGCGGTCTCTGCCCCATGGAGCCTGGTGAGGAGATAGACATGCCCACACAGAACCCCATTCCCATGCTAAGGCAGGGAGCCTCAAGTTGCTGGTGGAACTGACAAGGATGAGCCATAGACCTCAGAGCTGGACCTTGTCTGACTACTGGAGGTTGTCCCTGCCTGGACAGTCCAGGGCTGGGGTCAGTTTGATGGTGTGGGGCACAGTGATGCAACAGTAAATAAACACTGTGAGCCGTTGCTGCATGCCAGCCACCGTTCCCGGAGTCCTCACAACAGCCCTAGAGACTGCTAATACAGACATTCCCACTTTACAGATGGGGAAACTGAGGCACAGGGTGGTACAACCAATGAGCAGCAGAGCCAGGATTTGGACCCAGGCAGGGTGGCACCAGCCCATTTTCCAGCTACTCCATACTGCCTTTCAGGGAGGCCTGCCCTTGACTTTGGTGTAGGTCGTTGGCCTGAGGCTGTCCCCAGTTGCTGATGACCTGCTATGTGGCTGAGCCCACTTTGTCTCTTGTGTTCCAGGTCACTTTCTGGGGAACAACACAGTCATCGACGTCCTTCGGCAGGCAGGGCTGGAGGTGGAGCACACGCCTGCAGGACAGACCATCCACAGGTAAGCAGCTGGGACATCTGGGGTCGTGGGACTTGCTGGCCCACTGATGCTGGTCCACGGGCCCTGCTGACCACGTGCTGTATGGCAGGCTGCACCCCGCCTTCCCGCTCAGGCCTGCGGGGCAGAGTCTTGAAGGAGCCTCTGGTGAGATGGGGCCTCCTAGCGACTGGCCTTCGCCAGGCACCCAAGAGTGGGGGCTAGGCTGGAGGTGGGGAGACCGGGAAGGAGCTTGGTGTGCAGTAGTGGCAGGAGGTCAGGGCGGTGGGAAAGCAGTGAAGGTGGGAATGGGAGGAGCGTTAAGTTTTGAGAGATGTTCAGGATTTAGAGACTGGCGATCGGTGGGGCGCAAGGACTCTGTAGGACTCCCGGGTTGCTGCCTAGAGGACCTGGTGGATGCCCAGGCCCTGAATCGAGATGGAGCCACGTTTAGGACGAGCCCTGGCCAGGCCTCTTCCCTGTGTCCCAGCCCTGCCCACACCTGGTCCTCACCTTCCTCTGACCACACCTCCTCACTGCTGCCTCTTGGCAGCAATTCCCTCGCCTGACCTCCCTGCCAGGGCGCACTCGCCCCGCCCAAAGAGACATATACTGCGCACAGTGGCCATCCTCGCTTCCTGTGTGGGTTTTCTGCCCCCCTCAGGCTGGAAGATGCCTGAGGGCAGAGGCCAGCTGGGTTCACCCATGGTCCACAGTGCCAGCACCAGGCCGGGCACGGAGAGGTGTCGGCACGTGCTGGGCAGCCCTAGAAGACAACAACAGGATCCTGAAACCCAGGGCTTCCATGCAACTTGTGCACCAACCTGTGCAGGAACCGTCCTCACAGGGATGGCCGGAGTGGGATTTCGGCCCCTGTCCATGACGTTATAAAACCCAGCGTCCAAAAGAAGCTTGAATAGTCCCAGCTAATGCTTATTGACTGTTCACTCCGTGTCGGGCTCTAAGCGCTTTCAACTCATTAAATCCTCACAACAACCCTGTGAGGCAGGAACTATGAGTAGCCCCACCTTAAAACTGAGGAACCTGAGGCCCAGGGAGGCAAAGCCACTTGCAGAAGGACACACAGCTCATGTTAATGCCAGTCTAGCTCTAGGGCCTTCCTAAGGTCCTCACCACAACCTGTACTGCCTCAGGGGCTGGGGGCGAGGCTCAGGGGTGGGAGTGCTCAGGAATGATTGCAGCCTTGCTATTCACTCTGCAAAGATGAGGCCTGGGGCCTTGAGCCTCTGGTCTCCCAGCTCCAGGCTGATGCCCTCCCCCGTCTCTATGGCACTTCTGGAGGAACTTAAACGCTCTCACCTCGGACTCCTCCCTCTTCTCATCTGAGTCAGCCTAACCTGAGCGCCCTTCCTGACCACCGGAGCCCAGCACAGATCAGTTTGTACCGGGCCAAGGGTAGGCGTCAGTTGGAGGGACGAGGGACCCAAGGTAGCCTCGGGGACAAGACCTTCCTCAAGCTCCTCCTCACAGCCCCAAGGACCTCCACCTCAAAGCTCATTGTGTGGGTCCGGACAGCGCGGGGGGCGGGCAGGCCGGCGGGGCTGCCTCCGCTCCTATTCGTCTCAGAGCCCAGGCATTAGAACAGGTATCCCCCCACTCCCCGCAGGCCCCGCTCTCAGCCTGAGTCTCTGAGTGCAGGCTGAAGTCCTGTGGGTGGGGTGAGGGGGGTGGGGATGCCGAGGAGGCCCCAACAATAAAAGCCGTCATCAGCCACAGGTGCTTCCTGGACCCGTCTTTTTGTCTGCCTGTTTTGAATTATCTCCCCAGCAGCTGCGGCGTCTCCTGGACCCTGGGAATCTGGGGTTGCCGTGAGGGCTGGAGGAGGACAGGCTGAGCTGATGGCCTTCTGTCCTTCAAGGACATCGTGCACGCGGGAGCGGAGTTGGGGGACAGCCTCCCTTGGGTGCCGGCTTGCCTTTACAATTCTCGGGACCAGGACCAACTTCCCCCAGGGTCAGATGTCCCCAGAAGGAATTCCGTTTGGACCACAGAGAGGGAAGAATAAAAGGGAGAGGAGCAGAGGGTGTTCCCAGGCTGAGGGGTGCCTGCGCACCGCCGTATGGCATGTGGAGTCCACGCCACACACTTAATCGCACGTCAGTGCCTGCTGCAGACAGCTCTGTTTGCTCGAGGGTGACATTAAAGAGAGGCCGGTTCTGTGCCGGGCACTATGTTAAGACCTCGTCTCCTTCATCCTCATGACAACCCTATGAAGTGAGTAGTATTAACTCCGTTTATAGCCAGCTGTTTCTTGGACACTTGTGTCCCTGCCCTTAGTCACATAGCCTGGAAGGTGCAGAGCCAGGATGTGAACCCGTGTCCGTCTGCCTCCACCTTGAGTTCTACGTGCTCAACACAGTCCTGCCTCCCCTGGAAAGCTGCTCAGGAGGCCAGCGTTGAATGCATGAGTGGATGCTTGGACGAATGGCACAGCAATAATGTTAATATATCATATTTAAGCCAGTTAATTACTGAAATGTTTCAGCTGCTATTTGCCAGCCACCGTTCTGAGTGCTTTGCCTGTGTTAACTCACAAAATCATCGTGATGCCGCTAGGAAAGTACCAGCTGTAATATCCCCATTTTCCAGAGCAGGAGACTGAGGCACAACACAGGGAAGTTGGGTAACTCGCCTCAAGTCCCTCAGCCAGAGCTTGTTGAATGAACGAGGCCCTGACCAAGATCAGATATGCTCCCAGAAACCTGCCCAGGGCTCACCCTCTCACTCCTGCTAGTCTGGGCTCACATGTCACCAACAGGGACCAGACTGTCCTCCCTGCCAACAACGCCCCCTCCCCCCACGGCCCACGCTCTCCCTCCTGCCCCTGCTTTATTTTTCTCCTCAGCAGTTATCACCATCTGACATCCGGCCCATCTTACTCTCTGTCTCCCGCTTCGGAATGTAAGTGCTAAGAGGACGGGGGCTTTGTCTATTTTGTTCGCTATTAATACCCATTACCTAAAAAGTTCCTGGTGCCAGGTAGATGCTCCATAAATATCTACTGAATCAATAAATGAAAGGACGAACCAAAGCTCTATCTCGCAACACCAGGAGATGCTTTTCCTGGGTGACCCTCAGCCGGGCACCCTGGCATCTTCTCCTGCCGTGACAACTTTCCCACTGAATTGCGTGCCCCGTCGCACCTGAATGACACGCCCCAACACGCGTGCCTCACGTGCGGTTGCCCCTTTCCAGCCCTGTTGCCCGGAGCCCGGCACCTCCACCCGAGGGGACCTCGGCGAGCCCCGCCCAGGCGACCCCAGCTGCTGCCATCCCTGCGGTCCCCTCGGCAGCCCCCACTGCCCCGCCTGAGGAGGAGGACCCAGCCCTGTCCCCGCACCTCCTGCTACCCGACAGCCTCAGCCAGCTGGAGGAGTTCGGGAGACAGAAGAAATGGCACAAGAGACAGAACAAACCCCAGCGGCCACGGCAGTTCAATGACCTCTGGGTCCGCATCGAGGACAGGTGAGCTGGGAGGGGCAGGTCTACCGGGAGCTGGGCCTCTCTCTGGTCTGCCTACCTGAGACCCACCCAGGGCCGGACACACTCTGTTGTCCGCGTGCGCGGCTCTAAGGAAGCGTGGCAGGTGGGTACTCGATCGGAAACTGGCTTGTCCCTGTTCACAGAGGATCCTTCTGTTCATGCTTCGGGGTTTGTAGAGCACGCTTACACCTGACCTTTCAGTTTTCTCCATTTGAAGGTGAAGGAATAGAAGCTTCCTTCAGGTGCAGTGGACAAAAGTCTGCTTCGCCCTTAGCTTTCTTGGATGCGTGATGGGTGCGAAGCAGACCCCGTTTGTCCCATGGGCCAGAAGGTGAAAGCAGGACGGCCAAACCAGAAAGCTGTGAGCTCTCTGGGCCTGGACGGCCTGAGCAGCCGACCCGCTGGCAGGGAGGCTGCAAGAGGTATCCCGCGTGCAGGAGAGACATGGCGGGTGATGGCGTGGGCTCTGTCCTGGGAGGGGCTGGGGGGTTTGTGATAAAACCTTGTTGGAGACGGGCTGGTGCAGAAATCGTCCTACCGTACTGATACCTGTCTGTCCTCTGCCTGTGTGTCTGCCTGCACCACTCCCTTGGCCTGTCTGTCACCAAAACTCCTGCTGTAACCCAGATGCCGTCTTCCAACCTCCACCTGCGGGCTCAGCACAGAGCGGTCTCCCTTGATTCCACTTTTAGGCAGAAATCTCCACATCTGGTGAACAGCATCACCAGAGCACCCAGGGAGTGACTGTCAGGGAAGGACAGAGCCCTGCCCACTGCAGTAGCCCTGCCCTGGACATTGTGATCCAGCACTGGGCCTTCGGAGACTCAAGAGTCTCCACGTGAACCCTAAAAATCATCATCTGGGATTTTGCTCAGCATCCCCAGAAAGAATCACCTCGGGTACTTGTTAAATAATACCCCAGGCCCCACCACAGACCCCGTGTATTGGAATGTGTGGCACAGGGGCTGGGGAAGCCACGTGCTGAATGCGCACTGGAGCCTTCTGAGCAGCTTGGGGAAACGCGGACCCAGCTCTGCATTTATAGACGGTGAACCAAGGCCCGGGATGGGGGCTTGTCCAGGGTCGTACAGGAACCCCCTTCATGACCTTCCCTCAGCCAGGTCTCTGAGTCATAGACAAAAAGTTGACAGAGTCCAACCCACTGTCTTAAACTGCAGGGTGTGCGCTGTCTTAAAAAGACTTCCAGCAAGTAAAGTAAGAGTCCATTCCTCCTTTGGGCCTGTGTTGGCTTCAAAGCGCCTAACTTGGGTTCCCGGGAGACGTGCTTCTGCAGAGGCCCCACCGGCCCAGCCTGCCCAAGATGGAGGCACCGCTGTAGCTATACTGGCCTCGACACAGTTGGCTCGTGTGCCCGGCACGGGCTGCTTCTTTCCCACCGGGAGTGAGGGCACAGAGTTACCAAGAGCCACTTCTCAGTCCTGGGGAGGCTCGCAGGCTGCCAGGGAGGCACTGGCGGCCCATAAAGAACTGCAATCAGACCGTTCCCCCAGGGCCCCGATCAACCCGCCGGGCAACCAGACCCGGCCAGCAGTGGGCCCAGCCCACAGGGTGACAGGAGGCTGGGCTGCCAGCTCCAGCCACGGACCCCCAACCCCTAACCACGTCTGAAAGGTAAATTTCGGCAAATGACTCCACACGGTTTCCTTTTCACAACACGTCTCTCTGAAACACAGAACCTGGTTTCAGGAGAAGAAAACAGCTTTTCTTTGGCAAGAGGGACCCCTTTTCAGTCCCAACAGGTAAATTGTGGCTGGATAACTTTCTTCCATCTGGTTGGGCTGGAGAAGGAAATTTCCACCAACAGGCAGCCTATTTGTTGAAAGTTTCTCTGCGTCGCAGGGAAGCCGGCCCTGAGGTCCCAGAGGGGCCCAGGTGCAGGGCACAGCTTCTGTCACTCCTGGGTCTCAGCCCACCCATCCTCCTAGCAATCCCAAGTTTCCGGTTCTCCGAGAGGGAGCAGAGGAGAGCTCTCTGGAGGGAGACCTGGGGCCCATCTGTAGCCCTTCTGACAATATTGTTTTCCTTGGAGCTTTAATTCCGTTCAGAGTTTTCTCATTTGCTTCCCCCTAAATCCCACCGGATGCATCCCCTGCTCTCCATCCCCTCTCCCAGCTCATCTCCCACCTGTGATCTTACGGCGGGGCCCTAACGGGTCTCTGGCTCCTAGCCGTGTCCCAGCACATTACCATCCTCAGCCTGAGATTCCCAGTGCTTTCCCTCGCCCCGCCCCACCAGGTAAACTTCCTGCTGCTCAGCCTGGATGCAGAGCCTTTGCCTCCTTCCCGCCTCACCTGCTGGCCCTCCTCCTGTGGGATACCTGGGCCCCGTCCTGGCCAAGCTGTGTGCTGCCCTGCAGTGGACCATGCACGGCCCACCCCCACCTTTGTCCTTGCTTCTCTCTCTGCGGGGGGGTGGATGTGAGTGGACACTTGCTGAGCTCCTGCTGTGCCAGCCACTGACATCCCTCACATCCCCCAGCCCTGTCAAGAGTCCAGGAAGTAGGCTTCGCTTGACAAAGGAGGAAACTGAGGCTCAGCGAGGTCAGGTAACTTGCCCAAGACCTTGCAGCAAGTCAGCTACAGAATCAGGGCTGTCTGATGCTGGGGGTCACATTCGTCCAGCACCACGCAGACGCCCCTGCTGCCCTCGCCTGGCAAGCATCTCCTCCCTTCTCCCCATCCTCCCCACAGCGTGTTCCCTGTGCCCCTCTCCTCTGCATCCCATAGCCTCCCCCCGCCGACCGTGGGTATCCCGTGGGTGCCCCTGTCCTGGCACAGGTCCACAGATGGCAGTCGCTTGCTTGTGTTTCTAGGCCGGGAGGCCCTGGGGACCAGAGCTGGGGTGGACTTCTCTGGGTCACCGGAGGCCTCGCTGAGGGTTTGTCGACTGCATGCATGAGTGAGAGAAGAGGGGGAGCGAGCGGGGAGAGGGCCGAAGTGCCACCTGGAGCAGGCTGGCCTTGCCTCGCCCCTCATTACTCCAGATGTAAACACATCGAAGGAAGTTTAGAGAAGCAGCAGCCCGTGGCAGGATGATTTATGGGGACCTGTGAAAGGGGCCCGGCATGTGTCCGCAGATGGCTGTGTAGCAGCGGCAGAATGGTCTCAGGGAACCCCCGCATCTGAGAGCCAGGAGCAGGCAGCAGGGCTGTGGCCAGGGGGCACGCCAGGGAGGAGACCATTGCCACGCTAACTGTGTGCAGGGCACTGCCCCAATCAGTTGGATCTGTGACAATCCTTGGTTTGTACTTTTGCACAGCTAGGGCCTTGACTGGCCTCTGGGGGTCATGCCAGCTCTGTTGTTCCCCCAGTCCCCCAGTGGGTTGGATAAACAAGGGAGCAGAGCACTGGGCCATCGAGAAGGACAGTCATGAGGGGGCAGGTGCAGGGAAGAGAGCGTTTCCCGGGCTCCGGGCATGGACGGAGGCCAGGTGCAGAGGTGGGCGTCTGTATGTGGTGGCTGCAGAGCCCTGTAGGTGCCACCATGCAGGGACGGGGGTGCAGGACGCACGTGCACAGAGGGTCATTGTCCTCCTGGGCCTTGGTTTCTCCAGAGGTTTGAGCAGATGGCCCGAGCCCCCGCAGAGGGGAAGAGAACCGTTTCCCCTCCCCCTGGGCCCCTGGGAGGGCTCTGCCCGCCTCCCACTGACCTACCATCCTGCCCTGAGTTTCTCCAGCTCACCTTTCCCCCAGCACAGCCAGGCTTTCTCCTGGTACCATACAGGGTGCTCAGCATCTCTGCATGAGGCCAGGACCTCGTCTGATTAGAGGACGATGCCCCCAGGAGAAATGGGGAACAGGGTCACTCAGTGGATAAAAGCACAGAGGAATTCAGGCAGAATCCCCAGCCCCTCCTCGTACTCACTCGGAGGCTTAGAATAAAAAGATGGTGCTTGTAAAGCGGTGAGCTGGCCTCAGACCACCGGTGACACTCAGTAACAGCTGTCCCCAGTGTTGGTGGCTGACTCTCAGAGTCTGGTCTAGGATGCCACACGCCCCATCTCCCAGCAGGAAGCGACTCCTGGGCCTTCAGTACATATTAGGCTTAAATGAGCCCCTGGGTGAGCACATCATTAAACAGAAGCGAGTTGGCTACATGCCGGGTGCCCAGCCCGTGTCCAGTGCTGGTGGGGATAGAGCAGGAAGAGTCGTGGGTCATGGCTGGACAGGGACGGCTCCCTGCTGTGGTGCAGCCGAAAGAGCCCTGGAGTCACGGCCACTCTGCCTCTGCCTGGCGAGGAATCCAGCCAGCGGGGGATGGAGGGCTGAGGGCCCTGAAAGTCGAAGTGACCCAGTGAGGGGAGAGTGAAGGCATTCCCAGCAGAGAAGACCATGTGGCCAAAGGCCTGGAGGCTGGCGTGGGCCTTAGATACCAGGACAGGGAGCTGTGGGCAAGCCGGTCCCTTTAGATCTCTGCCTGCGTCTGACCGGTCTGCCCAGACAGTTCCAGCTGGGTCATATCGCAAGCTCCACCCCGGCCAGCAGGGCCACCCGTCAGCCAGGCCCTCGTGCCCCCAGCTCCATCTCCACTTTGTCTCCTCGGAATCCACTGAGCGGCCCACCACCTTTGTATCGCAAGAAAGCCACAGCCCCAGGACTCCCCAGCCCCAGCCCTGATGGCTCTTAGAGACCCCCTAGTGCAGGATTGGGGCCCTACTCCAGGAAGCCCTACAGATGAGCCTTGGGGCAGCCAGCTGACACATCTCAGGCACTAGCCCTGCTTTCCTGTGCTTTATACCCGGGCTTCTGCCTAAGATCTCACTTCTGGCTTCTGCTGCTAGAAAACATTTTAAAGTCCGAGGGTCTGATGCTGTTCCTTCGTTGTACACACGGGGAAACTGAGGCCTAGAGGGCAGGACCTGCCCAAAGTCACGCAACAAACGGGGACATCGGGCTTCTGCCTTCCACCCAGGCAGAGGGGCCCTTCCCACACAAGGGGCCCTGTCGGCTCCGAGCGCACTCGGCCCTTGGTGCCAGCCGTCTGCGGAGGGGAACACTCAGAGTGTTTGGTTTGGCTTCGAGGCCACTTTGCCATGAGACGCTGTTCCCCAGCGAGGGCCTGGGGGGGTGGGGCTGGGATCTGGACTGGGCTTTGTGAGCAGAGTGGGTCCAAGAGGTGGGGGCATTTGGAGGGGCTTTCTGTCCACACCCCACTAACCTCACCCCGTTTTCCTGGGACGCCTTCCAAGCAATAATTCCCCCACTCAGGCTCCAAGGGGGAGTTTGCATCTTTGGTTTTCAAAGTGTGAAAGCAAATGCCTTTGGGCACCTTGTGAGACATGGTTTTCATGATTCCTACTTGGTCCTTCTTCTGACGGCGGGGGCTGCTGGGCCCCTCTCTGGGCACCCCAAGTGGCAGCTCAGCCTTCTCTCCTGAGGCCAGCCTTCCTGGCCTCCCAGCTGCTCGGGCTGGAAAGATGGGGGCAGCAGCTGGGAGGAACCCTTCATTAGCAAAGAAGGGGAGGGAAGGGACTGTGGTAGTGATCCTGCTGGGCGTGGGCACAATACCCTCCAGGGACTGAGGCCACTGGGGGCCTCCTCTCTGACCCTGGCAAGCCTCCACCCACGGGTGTGCGAGGTCTCGGCAGGAAGAACCATGCTTCACTCCCGTGCTCTCCGTCTGCGCAGTTAGGGATGGCACCGCAGCCCAGCTGGGGCCGGGGAGGCAGACAGCCTGGTGCACGTCTTCAGGCTCAGTTTCCCCATCTTGAAAATGGGAATAATGATAAGATGACACGTGTATAGCATCAAGCACAGTGTCTGCCGGCACACAGGAAGTGCTCCATAAATGGAGGATGCTTTTAGTGAGAGAGACAAGGACACACACATAATAATAGTGCTAAAAATAGCCAACACCATACAGCACTTCCGGTGCGCCTGGCAATGTTCTGCACCTTACATATGAAACCCATTCAAACCTCGTGCGCATAAATAGGTGTCAATGACACAGTGTGACCAGTGAGAAATGCGCAAGGCTTCATGGGAGCCTCAACTCTCCCAGGTGGCCTTAGGGGCAGGAGGACAAATCAAAGAGGCCTCCAGGTGAGGAGACTGTTGAATCAGGCCTTCAAAGGTGAGTCAGAAAATGGCAGCAGGACATTAGGTGTGACTGGGGATGGTGGTGTGTGCTGGGAGAGCCCAGAAAGGTGAGGTCAGCCCGCAGCAGGCCATGTGAGAGGTCTCGGGTGCTCTGAAGGCCGGCGTGGGGTGGGAGGTACAACGGGCCGGATTTGGGGGAGTCATAAGGGGCGTTCAAAGCTGCCTGGTCTGCCCCCTCCCTTCCGGTGCTTCCCACACAACCTCTGTTCAGGAACACCTTCCCGCCACCCATGGTGTGTGACAAGCATTTGCTCCCTCCTCTCCTGATTAGTTCTATGGGAATTTCTATAGACAGAGGAACACACACATCACAACTATAGAGTCCAGGGTGAGAAGGACCTCACACAAGGATGTGTGGGTTCCTGTGGCCACAGCATGACCAGGACTAGAGGAGAGGGGGAGGGACAGGGCAGGGAGTGACAAGCCTCTCCTTTTCTGAGGGCACACGGACACGGATGCCAGAGCAGGTGTCCCAGACCCCGTGCAGGCAGGGATGTGCTTGTGACCCCCGGGCTGCCCTGCCCACCACCCCCCGAGGCCGAACCAGGCTGTGTGAGAGGGTCCGGCCGGGACAGAGGTGGGGCTGGGCTGCAGTGGTGGTGATTACAGAGCTCACCGTGGTGATATGGCCAGTTGTCAGGGCCTCATGCCCAGCATGTGGAAACGTGGCCAGTGTGGGACCGGGGAGGGGGGGGGATCCCAGCTGACCTGGGGAGTGAACGGCCCATCAGGGAGGGAGGGTAAGCACTGCAGTGTCCCACGTGGAGGAGGCTGCCCACTCTGCAGATGCCCAGGGAGGGGCAAGCTTCCTGCCCCGCCATCAACTGCTGGTGAGCACCCACTGGGTGCCCGGTTCAGACCCTGTCCCTGCCGTGTGTCCTGGAGCAAGTTACTTACCCTCTTTGTGCCTTGGTTTCTTCACAAGTAAAATGGGATAATAGTCTTACCTGCCTCGTAGTGTTGTCATGAGGATTAGATGTTAACGGGTCCTACATGCTGGGCACAGACGCCGCCGGGAGTGCCCTCAGCCACGTGCAAGCTGGACTCGCGGCCTTCACAGCTGACTGCAGTGTCACCTCTTCCTGGAGGCCATCCGGGCTCCACACTGGGTTGGGGCCCCTCTGTGTGCCCCCTGCCCCTGGCCTTCCCCTCCCATCTTTGACCCTCTGGGGTGATGGGCTTTGTCGGGTCCTCCCCCTGCATCTCCCTCTGCCTCCTGCCCCCCGGGGCTGCACAGGGCAGGTGTGAGCCCATCGCTTCTGGGGCCCAGCCCTTTCCTTCATCCCAGAGCCTTCTCCCCCTTGGTCTCTCTTTGTTATGCCTCCGTCATTGTCAACTCTCTTCCCCAGTCCCTGTCCTGCCCTCTGCCCCTCTCTTTGTTCATCATTTCCTATCTCTCTCTCCAGGACCTGAGCCAGTGACCTGGTCCTGGCCCCTGCCCTCCCCTCGACTTCCCGATGCCACCAAGTGCTGACATTGACCCGCCAATTCCTTCTGCACTTCATCTCTTTTTATTTCTCTGTCTCAGTACTTCCCTCTCTTTCACGTAGGCTTCCTTGAGCCAAGAACCTCACCCATGACCTCCAAATTGGCTTCTATTTTTATAAGTTCATGAGGGACCACCTTCACTGACACTCCCTGTGATTAGGCAGAGTGAGGCCCCTAGAGGCGCCTGCCCTCCGAGGCGCCGCCCCACTCCCTCTGTGACCTGGCCCAGGGAGCCTCGCTGAGCCTCCATTTTCTCATCTGGTGAAAGGGGGTAGTGCGGCGCATTGAACGTTTGTTTTGAGGACCAGAGATGCTTCTTATAAAGTGCGGATTCCCAGTGGGCTCTCAGTAAACGATAGCCGTGATAATGAGGGTGAGATGGGGTGGTTGTTTGTGTGTTTTGTTTTGTTTTCTGTTTATTTCAGACTGGGGAGGGGAGGGCAGCAGGAGGCCAGGGGCACCTGCATACAGAGGTGAGAGGGCTGCCTGCTGCAGCGTGACCCCAGATGGATCTTCTCTGAAACACTTCACTTCTCTCTGCCTGGGACCCAGTACTCTTGAGTGGTCACCCTTGAGGTCGACTGTGTGGCTCTGGGCTGCTCACTTTCCTTGTCTGAGCCCTTTGTTTCCTTCTCCATTTTATGCGGAAAAAAACAGATTCAATAAAAAGTTGGATCTGAACCCTAAGACCACAGCCCAGGACAAGGCTGCTAAGAGGCTGTTCCACGTTCCATGTATTTTTCTCCCCCCAGCACCACCGCCTCGCCACCACCACTGCCCTTCCAGACCACGCAGAGCTCCGGAACAGCCAAGCCCCCCTTCCAGCTCTCCGACCCGCGCCAGCAGCAGGAAGAGCCAGGGCTGGCCAGCAGCTCAGCGCCCAGCCGCTCGCAGCCCACCCTGGGCCTCCTCCCCGCCATCGCTGCCAGCATCACAGCCCCCTTCCTGCTGCACACCCTCAGGCTCTCCTGACCTCGGCCGCCCACCTCCCTGCCGGGTGCAGAGAAAGAAGCCAGAGAAACCGATGGGAGGGTCTGCGGCCACACCCACAGCCCCTGCCACCACCTCCAGGGGTGCCAGACACCTCATGGGTAGTCCAGACGGGATCCGTTAGAACACTAGAGCTTTATTGTACCCGAGTTACATCTTCTTTTTTGTAGAAGGATCTTAATTTCCCATAGTGCTATGGGGCTGTTTTGTAAAATATGTGTCCATATTAAAAAAGGAAAATGTATTTATTCTACTGATAAAACTATTTTTATGTGGCCAATGTTAATAACACTTTAACTAGCCCCATCGCCAACCCAGGAGGTGAACCCACGTTGCCAGGACGTCTGCCACCTCATGGGGACCGTGGCTTTGAACTGGCTTGCTTCTGGATCAGCGGAAGCCTCCAGCATCCGGGTTTGGCTTCTCCCACTGTAGGGACCTCAGAGGGAGGGGCAGGCAGACAGGCTTAGCTTTTGTGAAGCTGGATTTGGGAGCCAGAGATGTGAACGCTAACGGTCCTTCCTTCCCCTGGATGCATCCTAGGGCTGGGAAGATACTTTACGAAAGAGAATGCTGCTATTTTGAAAACCCTGAGTGTCTGTGAACTGGCCCTCCAGACCTCTTGGTATGTGTTCCAGCCAAAGCTCTTGGGTGGGGGAAGGGATGTTGGTGCTGAAGGAAGTGGTCCCACAGCCCCATGTGACAGATGGTTAAACTCGCCAAAGAGAGTAAGGTTGTTGCCCCAGGTCACAAAGCAAGTGGGAGATCCGGGCCATGAGTCCAGACCTCCCTGTTCTGGTATCGCTAATCCAGCTTGGCTTACAGGAGAGGCTGTTGAAGTCACGGCCAAGTGGGGTGAGCTGAACCGAAGGACAGGAGTGGGCACTGAAGGGCAGTTTTAGAGACAAGGCCTCTAGGAATCCCACAGTAATGATACTTGTAATGAGAGCTGCCATTTGTCCGGAGCCTGCAGTGTGGCAGGCATTTTGCACATTCACTTTATCACAGATCCTCACGCCAGTTCTGTGAGATATAATTGGCCCCGTTTCACAGGTGAGGAAACTGAACCCCCATAAGAGATAAAGGGACTTGTTCAACGTCACCCAGCCCGGACGTGGCCTTAGATCAGTGTGATTCAAAAGCAATGCTTGTCTCCTAGACCATAGTCTGTTGTGGTCTCTTTGCACCGGGAATCTCCAAGGGAGGCAGGTCTCACCCAAATGGGCCAGCTCACACTTCTTACTCCAACCAAAGAGACCACTTGGCTACAGTAATCATGTTGGTCCCTCTAGCCAACGGGCTCTGGCAACAGGCTCTCCCACGTGTCCCATGTCCCAACTTGTCTTATCTTGAAGCCGATGAGAGGCTTTCTTGCCAAATCAGAGAGGCTGAAGGATAGCTGTGATGGGCCTGGTAAGGCAGAGCAGCCAAAGAGGGGCAAGCAGGCCAGGGAGACTCAGAGAAACTGACCAGCTCCTCTGTCCTCAAGGTGGTGGCTGAGAAGCCACAGGACGCAGGTTGGTTGTCTCCCAGCCCTGAACCCTCACTGGGCTGGCAGCTCATCAATTACAGAGTCCTGGAACCCAAGAGCAGAAAGGGCCCCTCGTTTGACAAATAATAACAGTGAGAGTAAAAATAAGGCCCAGAGAGGTGAGGCATTTCCCCAAGGCTGCACAGCTGAACAGGTCTGCTGACTCCCAGCTCAGTGCTCCCCGGCATGACTGCGCCATGGGCTTCCCTGGCAGGCCTGGTAGTGTCTGATTAGCATCAGGGCCATTGTGCCCAGCTTGGCAGCTGTCTCCCTTCTGAAACAGTAGAATTCTGGGCAGCTCGTTGGATAGTCAGAAGTCCCACAGGCATCTTGGCAGGCAGCTGAATTCTTTTTAGCTCTGACCCAGATGGATGTGTTTGAACTTGAGATCTGGCAGGAGCCCTGAGCTCTGCTTCAGAGGGTCCAGCCAGCCCCATGGGTACCACAATGTAAACTGAACTTGACCCCAGCCAAGGCTGGAGTCCGTTTATCCTTGGCAGAAATGTGACTTCCTATTTCTGAGCAGGAAAGGGCTTAGCTGACTTATAAAGCAGACTCAGAAGGCCTGCTGGACATCAAATACATTGTGCAGAGTGCTATTTGGATGAGATAAATGTAAAGGAATCAGAAACACACAGGCCAGATTTCCCGCTGTTCAGGGCAGAGTGTGGCATGAGACGTATTGAGATGGAGCTTGAGGTTAATTAAAGATGAAGCATTTGGTAAACAGTCCACGCATCTGACCGCATGCCCAGATCTGTACCAGGCACGGGGCCAAAGAGGTAAATTAATGTAGTGTGTGATTATCAAACACACACAGTGCCAGGCTCTGTGTTGGGGCCAAATATAGCCACCTTCCTTGGCCTAGAGGAACTCATCAAGATGCAACAAGCAGCCTAATCCTAGGTTCTTAGAAGGAACCTTCAAAGTCATTCTGTCCAGGTCCGTGATCACAGGCAGAAGCCCCCAGATCCCTCCTCTGGGCAGGTTGGGAGATCCCAAACTCTCCCTCCACCAAGCACTTGAGTGTTTAAAGAAAGCCACGTGGGTAGCTGATGGATGGGCCAATTGATCAGGTAGACATGTGCTGATGGGACAGCCAGAGCCAGTGTGAGTTAGACAGACATCTGTAGCCTAAGTTCACTGGTCCCTGAGGACCACCCGCTGGCCAGGGTTTGAAATGAACTGAACTTGCTGACGTATGTTGCAGAAGACCCGAGGCACATGTACAAAAATCTGCATGGCTGGGGCCCTTGAATTCTCTCTTCCTGGGCCCGGGAACCATCATCCCATCCACAGCCACTCATGTGCTTTGGATGATCTATCCACCACTGCTGACATTTTTTCCAGCACATTCTGTGTGCCTCGCCTCATAAAATACCCCTGTTGCTCTGAGAGCATCGTGTCCATGTCTTAAGACTTTTACATTTGACCTTGAGGCAGGCAGAGAAGATCAGGGACTGAGAGCCAGCATGTTAGTGGTGGCCCTGGGTTCCGTCTCTCAGGATGGCTGACTAAATGACCAAGGGGTTTTCTGGGTCAGCTCAGAATGGCCCTGTCTCCTAATCTCCCTCTGGGATGTTCTGAGCACCAGCAGCCCGGTGAAGGCAGGGACAGTACAGGTGTATAAGTCAAGCTGCAGGGAGCTGCAGAGGGCCACTGAGGGCCCCCCAGCTCTGACAGTCAAAGATCTAGAGTCTATGAAGCATGGAAGCTTGTGCCGACTGGCAAGTTTGCCTTTGCACAGAAACACCATGACCGGATTTTCCTCACACTAAATGCTGTGTCACCCAATTCCTGGCCTCAGCTGGATTTGGGCTAGCCTAGGGACTCAGGATCCTTGTCCCACCTGCCCAGTCTCCATCCTGGGGCCATGATCACAAGGGGTCCCAAAGAAAGGTCCTCCACCAAAGGGAAAGTATAGGAAAATGCCACGAAGGACAAGAGAGGTTCTACCTGGGAACTGCAGTTTTGCTGGTACCCTGTGTGGTAGAGAACAGAACTGGGGCTGGTGACGTGTTCCTCAGCCTGGCTTTCTACACCCTCCACAATCAGACCCTGCTGACCATGCCAGCCTCGCTTCTCATCTCTCCCACTCTGTGCCTGGCCAGACTGAAGCATATTTGTCATTTCCAGAATAGACAGGATGTTTCACACATGCTGCTTCCTAGGCCTGGAAACGCCCTTCTATTACCCTTAACTGCTCATACTTTGAGGATCAACTCAGATCGCACCTCCTACAGGAAGCCTTCTGCGTTGAGACCGTCTATGCCTCTGTTCTCCTATCATACTGTGAGCTCCTCAATGGCAAGGATCATGTGAATTCATCTTTGTGTCCTCGTCAGACATAAAGAGATGTGTAGAGAGGGACCGGAGGAAGAAAGGAATGAAGGAAAGAAAGAAGGAGGCAGACCTTAACTCTGCTAGTGGAATAGTCTTTGCAAAGGCAAAGCTGTCGGAAGATGGCAGGTGCCCCTAGAAGTGTTGAGTTTCCCGTCAGGAGCAGTGTATGAACAGGGGCAGTAGGCACACTGGCTGGAGATGTGGTAGGAGAGTTGAAGTCTTGGCAAGGGAGTGGGGTAGGGTCCCTCCTGGCTCTTGAATGCTCAGGTTCTTTGAACATTATGTTTCCCAAAATTCATCTAAGCAGCCAAAAAAATCACCCGGCCTGGCTGTCTAAACCAGTACATTTCAGAAATCAGTCCAGCCTCACCTCCCCGCCCCCCCACCCCCTTTCTTCAACAGTGCAGCCGGGCCTGACAAGAATTGGCAGGCTCACCTGCTGCCCTGGGGCAGGGGGACTTCTAGGCAGTGGGGGAGGGCTGGACCGGAACCTAAGCACCTATTCCCAGCCCAGAGCTCCTTCCCTCCCTGCCCCCCACCCCCGACCCTGGGGGAGAGAAAAGGGGGATATGAGAACTGACTGAGCCCTGCCTGGCCCTTTCCCAGGGGCATCAGCACACCCTCAGCTCTTCCTACTCTGTCTCCAGACGTGGCTCTTCCTTACCAGATATAGTCAAGATACTCCTTCACTTTGCTGAGTGACCTGGGGCAAGTCCCTGCCCCTCTCTGAGCCTCTATCTCTTCATCTGTCAAGCAGAGACTTTGTTTCCTGCTTGGACTGTTCTAGGGGTCTGGGGGAGCACTGGGGCTCCACAGTCTTGAGGCTCTGCTAAGGTGAGGTGCCGCCCCTCCCTCCCCAGGCCCAGTGCTCGGCTTTCCTCCCAGGATCCGTGGGCCGCCACGGGATAGGGAGCGTGTGGCAGGAAAGGGAGGTAAAGAGTAGCACGCCTCAAAGGGCCCCTGCATCCCAAGTCCCATTGCGAGGAAAGTGGGCTTTCAACAAGACCCAAGTCAAAGAAGTTTCCAGCGGGGCTCTCAGACATCTTGGGCCCCCATTGGGCCCCCACTGATTCTTGGCCAAATGATGTCCTAGGCCAGAGCAGGGGAAGCCAGAGCCCCTGCCCCATTCCTGGGCCTCAAAGAGACTGCAGGACGTCCTGGCCTGACTCTCACTGTGTGACAGAAGCTTCAAATCTTAATGTATTGGAAAGGTATTCGTGCTGTTGTCCTTTCAATCACCTCTTCCCCTCACCTCTGTGAATTCTCATGAAGAGTTCTTTAAGAATATAATAGAAGACAAAGAAAGATGCTATTAATGTTATTTTGCCAAAAATATTTTTGTAGCATAATATATTAATAAAAGACATGATG